AAACGCCGGCTTCGTATGGATGAGAGGCTGGTTTGGTGAAAAATGTGTGCGTTTAGGCCAGGGTTTGACTTCGTGTGGATGGGGCCTTAATCACCCTCGTGTTTGCCTATAGGGACGGTGTAATCAGGCTGATGAGCAGAGTAAATTGTCCTCTACATATATGCATTATCATTACATTTCCTTATCTGACCATAGATTCCTTTTCCTGCATGTCTGCAACATGGCCAAGTTGATTTAAGCCCAGATTCCATCTTCCCCTCCTCGTTCCTATTCAATAAAATAGCTTCCCCGCAGCATGATGCTGCCACTTTTTTTCAAACACTCCCCTATTTTTCAAGTTCATTGGCTGCTGGCTGGTGTTTAACTTCGTAGTCATCCATCTTCTTCCAGACAAAGGCACAATAAAACTGACACTTCATTTGCAGTCAGTAGAAAGGCAGCGAAAAGGGGGCATTAAGAGTGTTTAAGGGGTGATGGGGAGGGGGGTGCATCAGGACAGCTGTCACCCTGCTATTGTCTGCAGTCAGATCACACAAGCCAACAGCTGCTGTTGGAACAATGACTTCTCATTTATATATATTTGAAATAGAAAGCGGATATGTAGGAAGGTTTTCCTCCAAACAACAAATGAATAAAACAGTCTATGAAACAGAAGTGAAGGAAAAGTCTCTGTAGGCCTGTTTCTGTTAAATTCTCTACATATTTGCCATTCCAGTCTGAGCTGAACCAAGATCCTGCTGGGAGAACCCAGAAACCTTCACTTCTCACCTGTCTCTGCAGAATTAACCAGGAAGGACAACCAGCAGCAGAAAATATAATTAAGACGGCAGGCTGGTGGGTTACAAAGCAGGAAGGAATGCCAGGGGGGGTGGGGTGTTTTACAGGAACAAAAATAGAGCCACTAATGTAATGTTTCAAGTCAAGTTCTAACATGTGTTTGGGCAGAGAGGGGGAAAAAAAAGGCAAACATGGAGGAGAAAGAGTCTAAAGGACTAAAGGCAGACAAAGAGCAGTAAAAATGGCCCTCAGGTAGAGCTGCCTGAGGGCCTGTATCTGCTGGAGTCCTGCCCTGACAGGATTAGGTCGGCTTTAACTGGCCAGCAGGTCAATTAGGGCAATTCTCTCGCTTTTTCTTCCATAAAAAGACTCACCTGAGCGGTAAGAGTTGAGCTCCAGGCTGCCGGCGGTCTGAGCTGGAGACAAGCGGACAACAGGACGCTGTCCTCCCGCATGAATGTGTCTGAAACAAGCGTTTCCCAGCGCAGGAACACAAACCTGTTTGACAACTCATGTGTGCTGGCCGAAGCCCCGCCCACCGCGGCCTAATGGACCAATCAGACTCCAGTGAGGAAATAAACGAAGTCACGTGACCGTTGTATTTTTTATTTTTTTCTTCCTCCAGATCTAAGCGAGAAGTTAAGCTCATAATTTACTGGAAGGTTTCACATCGAAACAGAAATGAAAGTAATAAAAGTTGATGAAGTTATTTTTTTTTAATGATATAAAGGCTAAATGCTGGCAATAAAAGGTTTATTCTGAATGGGTTTCAGTCAAATCAGAGCCCTTTAGACAGACTGGACTATGAACTGTACAACATACATTATTATACAACTGATAAAGAGACCCTGCTTATTAGCAGGGTTGAGTCAACTTTAACCGTAAAGTATTCCTGTTTTGACCTGCGCTGAGTTCTTTGTGAAAGTATTTACCCCAGTGTAGCTACTAATCACCCCCCACCCCCCAAAAAACAAAGCAAACACAAAAAAAGAGAACATTACTGAACAAAACCAACAAGTGAGGAAGTTGTTCCAAAGTTTATAGAAGAGATAAGTTTTCAAAACAGTTTCCTGAATTTCAAACAGCTTGCAGGGCAAAGTTCAATCTGCAGTTTGAAAGTGAATAAAGGCATGGCATAACTGCAGGAAAATACCAACACGTGGCCTTCAGGAGCAGTAATCCAAGTGGTAACTCTGGAGCTGTTACAAAGATCCACAGCTCATATGGGAGAATCGGTTCAGGACTGTTAAACATTCAAATTAATTCACAACATGTCATCTCAAGGCACTTTACAGTTCACCAGATCATACAGTCAAATTGATTCAAAGTTTTCTATCTAAGGAAAACCAGCTGATTGCATCACCTCAAAGGCAATCCTTCACATTAAGCATGCTTGTAGCGACAGTGGAGAGGAAAAACTCCCTTTGAACAGGAAGAAACCTCCAGCAGAACCAGGCTCAGTGTGAGCGGCCATCTGCTGAGGCCGACTGGGGTTCAAGGAGACAGAAGCAGAGATAGAAAAAGCAGCTGTAAAAGGCGGCCCCGTCCAGGAAACACATAGCAGACCAACTCCCATGTCAGAGGTTGAAGAGAGCACATCCAGCCAGTCAGAGAAACAGGACTACACTGGAAAACAGGCAGATCGCCAACATCTATAAACAAGGGTGTTGATGGCAGCAGCACAGCTGATATACCCTCCTACATTTACTCCTAATAATGTTTCTATGGAATAATGGTAAAAATAAAGTCATTTTTGAAGGAAAACTTTAAGTAGCCCTAGTGTGGGAAATCTAACAGTACACATTACCCTGGAAAGCAGTTTTGAAACATGGTGGTGGCAGCATCATGTTGGTGTGATGCTTTTAATTACAGACAAGCGAGATAGGAATAGGGATGAATCTAGATACACTGGAAAAATTATCTAGAAATAAGTTAGAACATTTCTTAAAGTAAGTGTGTTTACCTTTAATTTGAGAAGATAAATGAGAAAGTTTGCCAATGGAATGAGTATTTTTACTCTTAAAATAAGATATTTAGATCATATGCACTTAAAATAAGACAATGCAATTGTGTTTTCCTTTTTAAAATCTAAATTGTCTTGTTCCATTGGCAAAATGTCTCTTTTACCTCCTCAATCCAAGAACAAATGCACTTATTTTAAGAAAAAATGACTTATACAGATTTCGATTTTTTTCCAGTGTAGCCAAAGCTATAAAGAATTGACTCAGGCGACTGAATTCAAAACCACGCTTTTCTTTTTAGACCATTTTCCATCGATTTTTAAGCACTTTGTGTTTAAATCCCAATGACATCCAATAATGTGATGAAAAGTCACTAAGTTGAAAGTGAACAAAAACCTTTGCAAGGTTCTTGAAGAGTAAAAGTTGTTTACTAAAGAAGGTGTTAACTACATTTTTCCATCTGGATGCATTGACAAAGAATTGGGATTTTACATCTTCTGCAGGATCTGTGGTTGTGAGTGTTCAACATGCATGACGGCACTTCCTACGATTAAATGTGTTGAGTATAGATTAAAGAACAAGTTAACACGAAAAATCACATTTATTCGTTTAGAGAAAACAGGTGTCAACATATCTTCACTTTTTACAATGAACAGTGATCGACACAATATATAGAAAAATAAATACACTTTAACCTCAGGCTAGAGAGCGTGGCTTGATGGGATTTCTGTTCAATTTGCAGCTAAGTTGTGTAAAATAACGTTGGCACTCCATATTTCCTTCTTCTCAAGATAAAAATCTGCATGTAGGCATCCGACTTATAATCAAAACTGCACATTTCCTCTGAGGCTTTTATTAAACATCCAAAGAATCACTCTAAAAAAAAAAGTGGGTCTCTTTTACCAAAATGTTTTACAGATGGCACCTTCTGAGATCTTTAATAAATGTGCAATCTTTGGTATTTTGCCAATGAGACACATGTCAGCTAGATTTAGAGTTATATTAAATGCAAACCCGCAGGAGAACATCTCAGCAAGGCATCTGCTGCCTTCGCCTTCCTGTAAGCCGACTCATGCTGTGTGCGGCATAAAAACAGAGAAACTACTGAGGAAATGCCTCATTTAACCCCATTTATTGTCATAAACCAATGATCTCTCCGTTGCATTGTGGCCTCAGCAAAAAGTGCAATAAAATGCTAAAAAACTACAGCATGATGCAGAGTTTTTTTTATGCAGAAGTTATGAAAGAGAAAAATATATATTTTTATGGCTGTACAATCAGAACTGTAATAGTCTCTTAAATAACAGTGTTTATTAGAATTTTTTTTTAAAGCAACACATTTTTGTTTTTTTAACAGCTCAGAGGGGCAGAACTTAAGCCTGCAAATATTTGGTCGCTACAAAAAGACCGTCATTGTAAAAGTTTCCACCGTTAAAATCTGCTACTGTAATTTTTCTTATTTAGATCAATGTAAGGTCCAGTCAGATCACGTCTTTATAACTAATAATCACTCCACATTCACGACTTACGCTTGGTTTACATATACGCATGAAAAGCCTTAGAAAAATCCTTCTTTTATTGCTGTAGTATTTAAGTCTCCCTAACATAAAAAAAATAAATAAATACATAACCTTTAATTTGAGCACTTTTATGGGCGTGAAAACATCCAACAACAGGTATGGCAGCAGTTTGAGTCATACAGTAAGAATCCAAAACATTTGGCTATGTTCAAATCTACTGGATGTCAACAATGTGGCACAACACATAAACATGTGGATTATATACATCAAGCCAACTGGATAGTACAGTGGAGGACCTGTGATGCTGCGGGCCTGTTTTTATACTAAAGATTCCTGAAAGGTTTTTGTAGTTCATGATATTATGAAGTCTTTGAAATTCTGGGACATCTTAATTTAAAGGCATACTATGCAACAATTTTTAGGTAATTAATGTGTTCCATAACATTTTGGATGATTAAATGAGCCATTTCAGGTTGAACAAAGGTTTTCTTGGCCGCCCTGGTGGTCTGTAGGGGAAATACCGTACTTGCAATTGCAGGAGCCCTCGGTCCGGTCTTGCTTTACGGCAAGAACTGCTACACGCCCCCAGTGAAAGCCATGCTCGTTGCTAGCGCAGTGGCGATATTTGTGCAGTTATCATGGCGAAACCAGCGAGAAAACAGCGAAAGCCCATGTCGGAGGAGGCAAGAAAGAGGAAAAGGGCTCTCTACCGCAGTAGACATGGTGATTCGTTACGTTCGCCTGTCTGCTAAGCTCAAAACAACCGCGCCTGGCTTGACGAAGAAACCAGGAGAAAAGCTGAGCTGGAAAATCAACACCGGTTGCATAGTATACCTTTAAAAAATATACGACCCAAATAGAGGTTGCAGGGTAGTACAGTGGGTAGCACTGCTGCCTTGCAGAAAGAAGGTTCTAAGTTTGATTTCCGGCCCGGGATCTTTCTGCATGGAGTTTGCATGTTCCCTCTGTGCATGCATGGGTTCTCTCAGGGTTCCCCGGCTTCCCCCCACAGTCCAGAAACATAACTGTTAATTGGCTTCTCTAACTAGTCCTAATGTGTCAGTGTGTGCGCATGGTTGTGTGGCTTTTTGCTCATATACTGCTGGACCGCGACCCTGACAAGGACTAAACGGGAGAAGATGGATGGATATGATCCAAATAGCTGGAAAATCCATAGCTTTCCTTGACCTCATCCTAAGGAAAACCTGTAAAGGGGGAAGGGATCCTGGACTCTGGAGCTTGGCCAGTGGCTACCAAACTTTCTAGAAAATGAAAGGAGAAACTACTGGTTTGAATTTATCCATAAATCAGGCTCATATTACGACACAATTAGAACAAATAGATACTATATTAACTATTTATAAGCACAGCTATGTTTTTTTTTTTTTGTGGACATACTGAAATTACAGTAGTTACAAACAGTTTTATCTTAACATGGGATACATTTTCTCAAATTTAAGGCTGCATTTAACTACTTTTTAAAGTGCTTCAATGACAGAGGATTTTCTAAAGGCTTTTGCACTAATATCTCTAAGTCCCACAAAAACAGACGCCCTAAACCTGAGGTCTGGTAGAGACTCATCTGAGGGAAAATGTGCTTCCCTCAGTGTGTTAAATATGAAGGCTGTGGTTTGAAGCTGCTTCTCCATCAGAAACCAGACCAATAAGGTCAATAAATCAATCTGGGCTCAACTTTTTCCTAAAAAGGTTTGTGATTTTCCGGCTGCTCAGGAGACAGCACAGTTTTTATCCTTGTCCTTTCCGCTGTGACTGAGAGCTCTTCTCCTCCTTATGCTGCCTCTCAGGCCCCGGTCTCTTTGCACCTCCGGCCCCTCCTCGGGTTTCCGGGCTTTGGGCTCATCAGGCTGCTGCTGTCGAAGCTGGGGGGGCAGAGGAATCCGCTGTCCCAGAAAGAAGCCCTCCTCCTCTGATTCGGAGGACGAGGAGCAGGTGGAACAGGAGTCTCCGTGCTTGTAGCGTCCCTGCTGGAGGCTGAGGGACGGGATGCTGCAGGAGCTGCGTCCATCTCTGT